ATGTCTTTTTGTGTTCTTGACATGTGTTTCTTCTTTTTCTTTTATGCTTAAAAGGAGATGATAAATGTTTTTGCCATCATATGACTGATGATGTCTTTTGAATAAAGACGAAACTAGTCTGAAGTGAAATTGTAACTTCATTATGTATAAGGTGGTGTTTGTCTTATTATCTATTCTTAAATTCTTCACCTTAAAAAATGATTCAATTAATAAGAAACGCTATAATTACTTGTATAGAAATCATTTGTATGCTTTCGTGGGATACAAACAGGAGATTGTTGACTCCTTTTTGTAGCAGGCAACGTTGTTACATCAGCAGCTTGAACACAAGGAAAACTTTGAATAGAATCTCATGGCTTTTAGATTGTCAAGACGCTGGTCTGGTCCAATCTACCAAACGCATTTTAAAAGTAACTATGCGCCAGTATAACAGTTTTCTTTCAGCTTTCTAAAAGCTCCGAGAAACTGTTTTAATGATATGCATATTATTATCTTTTCTGCTCACTCACGTTTTATTACGTATGCCTGCCAGTGAACAGGTATAAACTGCAATTATTATTGATCTTTTTTATTTAGTGCATGAGTACCGTACTAACACATATATTAGGACTACATAATCTTAAGTTGTTGCCTCATCCTCACCGAAAACCGAATCCGATTCCAACTCAGAATTTATTAGTCAGAATTCGGGTGGACCCAAAACACTAGCGTTTTTGTGAAAGTTGTCCCACAAACTGTTCGTAAGAAAAAGCATTTACATTTAATTGCACTTTAGCATCTCAACCTGGATTCGTACTCGTTCCAGATTTCCTATATTTGGGGGGAAAAGTGGATTTCTGCTGAAATGAGTTGTATTTGATCGTGAAAAGGTACATGCACTTTCCTATTTAAAAGGTCATTGGTTTGCTATTTAAAAATATACGGACATCAAAATTTTCATCGTTTTCTCATGTTTTTACAGGGCTCTCAGTATTTGATCATTATCTTAATGCAAACACGCTCAAAATAACATATTCAAACACATTCAAATAAAAAACATCAAACTAACCATGACTTGTTCATTGACATCAGTCGTTTATTGATCATCGTCAACGACTGATGTCAATGAACAAGTCATGATTAGTTTGATGTTTTTTATTTGAATGTGTTTGAATATGTTTATTATGTTTATGAATACGTTTATTGACGATGATCAATTGACATTCTTCTTTTTTTACTATCGTGAACGAACGTACTTTCCGTTTATTTCTTTTATCTCTGTGAGTGTGTATATCAGTATACATATACACACTCACGCGTTTCTTTTTTATTCCTTGATTTTACAATTGATAACAACGGAGTCAAACAGTAATAGTAATAAAAATCTTAGTAAACAGTTAGATTATGGAATACGTTATGAAAGTGATGGAAATACGAACTATCAACAGTTAGTTCCAATCAGAAATGTAAACGAGTATATGACCGTTGATAGAAATGGTCAGGAAGTTTTGGATATAAATGCTCTGTATTCTCGATATGGCCCACCAGTTTTTCAGCAACAGTATCAAGCAAATGGGTACACAAGTTACTCCAGGTATAATCACCGGACACAAATTCAACCGGTGTTTGAAAATAACCAAAATGCAGAAATAATTTCGGTCTCACAACCCTTAAGACGTTCACCTAGTGAACAAGAACAAAATCAATTACAAGACGCCTCTACATTTCAGCAGAACTCGCTACAGCAACATACCCAACTACAGAACTCGACGACAATCAATAATAATCTATTAAAAAATTGGAACGTGTAAAACAAAACGTCAGCACCGAAACGAAATCGATTAGAAGTTAGCGATGGTCATATTGGAGGTATAAAACGGCAGAATAATCAGACTGTGAACTGTTTTGATCGCCAAGCATCATCACCTCCACCACTTCCACAAAGACAATATAAAGTGCCGTTCGAACAAATGAGGCGCGCAGTGGTACATAATCTATCGTGTTTCACAATCAACTTTACAGACAAAGCCAGAAAACTGTCCGTGGTTTATATCACTGAACAACTGTACGACTATTTTAAGAAGCAAAATGTCAAACTAATAGGCAAGTTCACCTTGGCACGATATGCTGGACAACAGTTTAAAATTGGAGTTAGAATAAAGAAGATTACTTTGCATTATTAGCAGAGAAGGTTTGGCCGACAACAATAAATGGAATAGGCATTAAGGTTTCAAACCAAACTTCGTACCGAAACAATTCACCTTAGTTGCAAGGTACGTTCCTCAATCATTCAGTATAAAGCTAGTAGAAGAAGTAAAACTATCGGCAAAATCAGCTGCAAATTTTATTGTCTATTCTTATGAAAGAGCTACACATGATTATCGTTTCACGGTCAGTGATCTGAACGAATACAAAGATTTGTTAGCATTAGAGAGAATTGGTATAGGTAGTTTAATTCGCCCAATTACACAGTATCTTCCGGCCAATAAATTAACGTTCTGTACAAAATGTTGGAAAATAGGACATACAAAAGATCAATGTGATCAATCAATATTTAAATGTAAAATCTGTTTACAAGAACTCAATCCCAATAACAATGAAGTATGCAATAAGCAACCATCATGCGCTCAATGTGGTCTGAATCATCAATCGTTGGACCCAGTCTGTGCTGTGATACAACAGTACCGTAGCGATTTAAATAATGCTGTTGACGACGTTTTCAACTGTTCTATTTTCGCTTTCTTCTTTTATTATTCGAATTCATTAGAAACAAAAGTTGGAAATTTCATAATACTTCTTTGGTTTTAGTCATCGTCAAAAGCTATTCGAATAATAAAAGAAGAAAGCGAAAATAGAACAGTTGAAAACGTCGTCTACATGAAAAGGTGTGTATTTTTTGTATAAGCCGAAAGAGAAAATAGAGTAATCCAACCCTTTTTCTTCGTTCTTTTCTAAAGCCGATGGAAACTTTTAAACATTTGATTACATGGCAACCTCCACAAACAGTTCAGAGACTAGTTGAAGCGTTTACTGAACGGTGAGAGGTGAGGGTTTTTCTGAAGGGTTCCTATCCCCTAATCCGGTTATCTCCTATTGCCTTATAGCCCTATCCCCTTTACTGTTATCTCCACATAGCCTTACGACCGTTGACCCGGCGCAGTCAAACGGACACTCAACATTATATATATAGATATGTATTTGTAGAATGACATGTTTGGTCAAGAGCATCGCCTTGATGTGTTCTCTCGTTCGATCGAAATTAGTTACTCAACTAGTGGCAACTCTTATAGTGGGTTCTCCCATAATGGAACGAAAGGGATATTTCACGGTTCCAGGATATTGAAAAGGTGCAAGATCTGTCTATCCATTTAATTTCCGTTTCTCGTCCATAGTTTCATTATAAAGAGCGACACCCATAACACACTCCATGCTCGGATAAAAAGTAACCTTGTGACAGGTGTCGAGGCTGTACCAGATTCTGTGTTCTACTGAATAGTATAATCTGTGAAAATAATCCTAGACACAAAATCAAAAGCTTGGTCATCGATTTTATTATAGAATAAAATATTATGTCCAGAAATATGTGTTTTATATGTTTTCCAGAGTGTGTTCTTCACGATACGATAACGTAACTCACAGCATACAATTAGAGTAAAATTTAAAAGAAAATACGAATTTAAGGAAATAAGAAAATAAGAATTTAGGAAAACAAAAATTTAAGAGGGGTGTCAGAATATCAGTACGCAGTGTATTCTCAAAAACAGACTGTTTTTTTCAAACCTGGTAGGCCTCGTGCATTCTCGTACATTCTCACTGAGAATACACAAGCTCAGCAAATGTATTCTCAGTGAGAATATACTAGAATGAAATCGTGGCGTTATACCAATCGTACTTCTGCCAATGGTATAAGTGTGTCGATTTTATGCCAATGGATATAAAAAAAAACTTTTACACCAATGTTGGTAAAAACACTGATTTTTTATACCAATATTGGTATATAAAACAGAAGTTATACAATTGGCATAAAAGTTCGTTTGCTTACACCAATCTAATCAGTTCAGCAGCAAGTCAACTGTTTTTTTCTAAATACTGTAAAATATTTGATATATTGTACTGCATCGATTTTTCACTGCATGGAGTCGAAACAACTTATATATCAAATAGTTTCGCTGTGATCGGTCACACAGTTGAAGGTGTTAGTGTACTTACGCCAATACTTTCTGTTTCTTCAACTCTTACACCAATGGTGTAAGTACTTTTCGTTTATACCAATATTGGTGTATACATTTTTTTTTTATATCCATTGGCATAAAATTGAGACACTAATACCATTGGCATAACCCATGTCTTAAATACCGGCAAAATACCGTCGGTATACCACGGTATACCGTCCGGTTTACCGCGGTATACCGGCGGTATTTTCTAAATGAATTGTATGGTCCTCTACTCACTAGGTACCAGTAGGAATCCACACGTGAGCACGTTTTTATTTGTTTTCTTTGTTTGTGAAGTTTCGCTTATTTGTTCTTTTTGCTGTGCAGTTCATTAAAGAAGTTAAATAGTACGAAAAAGGAAAGCTAACCTCTATCACATATGTATAATGGTTTCTGTTCACAGTATCATTGTTTTTTAACAATCACAAAAAAAGAAAAAGAAAATCTGTTCAAAAAATATTAGAAGCAAAACCGTTAAAAAGTGAAAATCGAATCTCTGTTGCATATGTACAGCAATTCTGTTCACAATGTCAGTTTTTAACAAAAAAAACACGTTTCGAAAACATATGAAAAACGAAATAGTAAAACTGTTCATAATGCTGTAGTTGGTGATGTTATATTTGTTTCTAATGGTGTGGTTGTTCTTCCTCGTGCTGGTGTTGTTTTATTTCTTAATCGCATTATATTTCGTCGTTTTTGTAAGAAAACTTCATGGAGTTTCGGCCATTCTATGTTCAGTTTTTCATCACTTAATCTGAACACTGATCTAACAGCTTCTGAAAAAACAAACCGATAGAAATTTTTAATTATGAAGGCCGGACAATTTGTTTGTGTTGGATAGGATTCGAGAGGACGGCTATAGCATGACTCAGTTTTAACAATAAGAAGAACTGCACTGCACAAACAACTAGTGCTGCATTGAAACTAACCTTTAATAAATTGATATCCATCATTATTTGTAACATTATTAACATCGATATTAATAAAATCTTCTGCTTTGTAATATATATCAATTAATTTTGTGACATAAAGATTTTTTTGATCTGGGTGAGTCGGCAATTTTAATGCATCAACTGTACGACCTTCATGTTCAAATACCTTAACAAAAAATGAAATCAGCAATAAAATACATTGAAAATCAAATCAAATCTTTAAACATGTGTTAGTGTTTATAAAATATACCATTGTTGTTTGAAATGCTTCATTTTTGGTTGTATCTTCTGGTTCTTCTGGATCTTCTAATGGAATATAAACCTTTAATAAAAAAAATTGTGTAATGATCATTCACTGCTGATAATTTCTAAGCTATGTATCAGAGAGCCAAGGTTTCGTACTTTATGTTTACTCAATGCTTTTTGAATTTTCTTTTGATTAATAAATAATAA